TGATTTACGGGTTCTATATCTCAGAAGTCTACTCACATAGCTTCATTCATGGACTGTATTCTGACAGGAAATCTTAAAACCAATCCTTCAGTGGATTTAATCTACATTTTTTTTTGAGGATATAAAATGACCACATTGGATTGGAAGATTTCTCTTTTGGGTTCTATGATGGTTTGTATGACAATGACTTCCATTGACTGATATATTTGAATATGTGGTCCTCATTAGGTGGAACTGTTTGGGAAGGGTTAGAAGGCATAGATTTGTTGGCAGAAATATGTTACTAGGGATGAGACATTGAGGTTTCCAAAGCCCAGGCAATTCCCCAGTTAGTTATGTCTCGCTCAGCCTCGTTTTTGTTGTATCTCAAGATATAAGGTCTCACCTATTGCTCCAGTGGCATGCCTACCTTCCTGCCGCCGTGCTCACCATCATGATGATCATGATCTCAACCACTCACCACCATGATGACCATGGACTCAACCCTTGGAACTCTAAGCCCACAATAACCTCATTATTATATAAATTGTGTTTGTCATGTGTTTCCACAGCAAAAAAAACATAACTGAGGCTCCATTTAATGATGTTGGTTCTATTGATTGTCTTATGTGATTGTGTGTGTTCTTTAATCAAGCGACATTCTAAAATAGTCGATTATAATGATTTAGTATTGGTTTCTTGTCATAATGTTGCTTAACTCCTTTCCCACACAGCAGTTATAAATTGCATAATGTCCAGTGGGTTGTATTTCTGGGTAGATATTAAATGCTATACTGTTTAGAGCATTATTTCTTTAAGCGAATGATGTCTGTTCTTTAGAAAATGTATCCCTGGAAGACTTTGGAGATTATTAGTCCATATGTTCCTTAAATATAATTAATATTTCTCCCCATAGACTACTACAAAAAAATTCACTTGACCTAACCAAAAGTCAAGAGTCTCCATTATGGCCATGTAGAAGATATATAAATAAAAACAATTAGTAATAAACAACATAAAAGTATTACAATGCGTAGTATAATATCAGTCTTTGAGAGCTGAGGAAAGATAAAATCTATGTCTAAAATACTCATTAAATCAGAATCTAAAAAGGGATGAGTGAGCATCATCTGTTTCCTACAAGGCTAGGATTTACTTGTTGGTAGGCTGTTTCCTGAGCTAATTGTGTATTTTTATGTAGAAATTTAAAATGCCATTATCTAACAAACTTCTTTTTGTTTAATGTTGCCAACATCAGCAATTAAAATTTGCAAGTAAAGAATTTTAAGTAATTAAAAAGAAACAGATAACATTAAAAATAAATAATATATGATATATAGAGGTTGGAAAATTTTGTGTGAGGTGTAGGCTCAAAAAAAAATGACTCCTCTTCAGTCTTTGTCATTTTCCTGTGCTTCCTACATGGCCATGTAGAGCTACACAAACACAAATTTCTAAATTTGGGACTTTAGCTTAATCATGACAATCATGACAGTAGTCAGAAGTTTAGACTACTTCCTGCTTCAGTACCCTCTACTTTCTCCTAAAGGGTAAAGAACTCCTCATGTCCTATTTCCACAACCAGTTCTATTTGTAGTTAACTTATTGACTTTACCAAAGTCTGTGGCCTGTGCCTATCAATTAAAATTTAACAAACCGGAACTGAACAGGTGACCAATAAAAAGTTTCACTGCTCCTAACTACTGTTCATGGTGCTGGTAGGTAATTTGCTCACCACCAGAGAAGAAAAGTAATAATCTATTTCATCTTGCTATAAGACCTAAGACATACGAAAGAAACTGCATGTAAGATATGCAGCCCTGGAGGCACAAGTGCTGTGGAAGTAACCAACTACTTTTTAAAAATTAGATATAAGGCCCAGTCCATGAGGCTGCGAATATAACCTAGAACCGAACAAAGACTGGATAGATCTTGGACCTAAGGAAAAAGCTACTACTATTATTCTACAATTATATATATATATATATATATATATATATATATATATATATAATAATTCCTAATGACACACTGGTATATCCATAGAACAGCATTGTTCTGTCCTAATCAAAGAAGCTTCTTCTTGCAGTAGATGGCAATTAACAAGGGGGTCTACCATAGGAATATGTGCAGACAGTGAGAGCTTTGGAGCGCTTAGGAACACTCATCCCTAAACATATATGTATTCATCGTACCCCTCCTCTAAAAGTGAAGGGACCACTGAGGAAAAGGAGGTAGAAATATTGTAAGAAACATAAGTGGTGGATGACTCCAAGAAAGCAGTGTCTTCAAGACACAACAGGACAGATACACATATAAACTCACGAAAACCATGGCAACATGGCCAAGACATGTTCAGGTTCAAATCAGACAAACTACCAACAATGAAAAGGGGAAGTGGGCACTGTTATATCAGGATTGATTGAGGCAATGTGAAAATAAAAGAAAGAATCCACCAACAGTAGCAAATTGTCCTTTAATCAGAACAATTCAGGGTGACATTCTCTCTGTTGGAATAGAGACTGTATGCATGTGGCACAGGGGCTTGGAGATTTTATAGGGCAGGAAAATAAGCTTTGAGGATGGATGATTCCATCTGCAGGTCAGTTCCCCTGTCAAAGTGTTAAATACCACAGAAGTTGGTGTGCATCCTCTTATCAGACACTTCCAGGATCTTGATAGCCCACAGGTGTTACCAGTGAGTCAATATTCCTGTCTGGAGTTTCTCAACCTGCCTGTGATTTTCAGTTCATTAACACATTATTCCAGAAACTGAGGAAAGATAAACAGAAGGAGGCAATGTATTCTTTCATTGGCTGCTTCCTATGAGGAGGGGAAACTGGGCCTCTCACAGACTTGTGGAACCTTAAAGCCTATCCCCACTGACACACCTCCTCCAAAATGGTCATACCTCCTAATCCTTTCTAAACAGCCCTCCAATTGGAAACCAAACAATCAAGTATATGAGACTATGGGGGCCATTCTCATTCAAGTCACCATTTATTTATGAATGAAATACTTAGTTCTAGGTTTTTGAAAGTTTTACATGTCAAGTACTACTTATCTGTACTGATTTATCCGTCGTCAGTTATTGAAATCCCTTACTGATCTCTTAGAGGCCAGCTTCATTTTGTCAAAATTCTTGCAATAAGTTTCCACTTGTGCCATTATACCTTCCTTCTATTTTCTTGAAAGAACATTCTTGTAACTTACAAAGTTAGTTCATAAGCTAATGATTTTATTATGATTAAATAATTTTGAATAACTACATGCCAAAACCAAACATTCCTTGATTTGCATCACTACTTTTCCTCTTATGCTGGAAATTTTATGTTCACACCATTAGAGTTGTTACTGGGATTCTTAAGAAAAGAATTTGCAGATTTAGACACACTGAATTAGTACTTTTTTTTTTTAGATTTCCTGAATTTTATGATATTTGTTCATATTTGTATACCTCAAAGTAGTTAAAATATTTTTGGAAGACTATGATACTCATTAATTTGTCAGAAAAGTCAGGCTTTATATATTTTTAATATCTACTTTATTGGCATCACAGCCAGTTTAAATTCAATGACTCTAATGCTATGCTCATCTTACACAATACTATTACTAAGTGAATTAACATGGAATATTACTATTAACATTAATTAATAGTAATTAATATTAATACAGAATGCCTATTGAATAGACATTTCACTTAAAGATTCTTTCCCTCTTTCTAAGACATATGGTAATGAAAATACAATACTTTAATTAAATATTATAATTTTACTTTTAGATAATGTATAGATTACCCACTAACATGAGTCATTGTATTTATATTTACTACAACATTCAATGTTTTTCCTAGATTATATAAGTCATGTCTGTTATCGGAAATGGTTACTACTGATATATAAACCTCTAACTTGCTCTTATCAAAGTTTTGTATCTTAAATTAATGTCATTTAACTTCAAGAGGATATATTATAATTATTTAATTATCATAATTAATTAAATTACTAATATATTTAAATTAAGTTCTAATATTTAGTTTGAGCAACAATGTAAATTATATCATTGTGATGATTTCTTTGATCTACTAAAGTACTAAGAAGCGTCATAATGCTAATTATGCCAGGTGGTTCTCTTATAATAAAAAGGCTTATCACTACACTGAATGAGTTTACTATAAAGAATGCTAGCAATTCCTGTCTAGTGAGTCATTAGTGTTTAAATTCCCTATGTTAATATGCTTTTAGTTTTAATCAATGGTGCTAAGGTGCCATCCAGAATTAAATGTTTAAGTGATACTGTGCATTTCTTCATTAAATGGAAGATTTAAAGAAGGCAAAAGAAACAATATCTAACAAATGTTCAGTCACATGAAAATTGGTGTTAGGGAAGTCAGTGTATATTCCATCTTGTAGAAATTGAAGAAATTGCTGAATTTCTTTAATAATACAAAATTGAACTCACCAAAATATAAGCAGTACTAATGACCACATGTTTAAATATCTCCCATTTTAGTATGCTAATTGTGTTCTAGGATATTTTCTACCTCAGTATCTCCTTACATACTGAGGAGTAGGCTGAAGAAATATAATCATGTTGCTCAAAATGTATTGTCATATATTGTTCAGTAACTGGGTTTGAGGAAAACTGCCCAAGATATAACACAAAATAAGTGTTTGAAGCATTCTCCCAATGCACCAAAAGCAGTACTTCATCAATTAAACACATTATGGCAGCATTTAAAACTTAAACTTATTTTCAAAATTTTTCTATGTGACCATTATGATAAAAACATGAAAGTATTTATTATTCAAGATAAAATAGTCATTACTTAATACATGCCACAATGGTAATAACTTCTTTCAGTAGAGGTTAGTTTTATTTATTTATTTATTTCTGAGATCAAACATTGCTATTTATCAGTCAGTATCTTATGTCTATCTGCTTCAACCTTCTACAGGCTCGTTATTTATCTTCAGGACCAGAACACTGTTTTTACTTTTACTTATTATTTCTTTTCATAGCATCTACTCTTGGTAAACTCATAAAGGAATATGAAATCTCTTAGGAGGACCCTAGGAGACACTAAATTTATCTAGAATGAAGATGCTGGCATCCGAATTGTTCTTCGACAAATGCCTTTGACTAAGAGGAGTTGGACCACCAATGATCAGGTAACACCTTCCAAAAGGGAAAATGATCCAGAGAATGTTAATGTGGGATTGAAGGAACCAGAGGACACGAATTTCCTTGCTGCACTTTAGATATTCTATGGGGTTCCCTGATGTTTCCATTCCCACTCTGTCCAAATTCTCTCCTTTCTCTTCTTAATACTGCTCTTGTATTCCCTTGCAGATATTGTGTCTCTAGATATAACTCAATATAGTACTTTTATATAAATCTATCTATTCATCCCTGTCTGCTCTGCAGAAAACAATAGTACTGTACAAAACTATTTCAAGCTTATCTTGCAAGAGACTGTCTATTTGGATTACATAAGAAATGCTAAGACCCAATATATGGTGCAGAATTCAATTTCAGTTTTAAACCCAGATAAAGGAAATATGTCTCTTGACATCACACTTAGCAAAGCAGGACCAGGAAGGAAGTGGGCAATTTCAAGTATAAAATATGTGCTTAACAGGCAAGCATACATACTGCTGTGGAAAATTACTGAAGTCAGTCAGTCAATCAGCATACTGCACAGAACTTCAGAGGGATGCAAATTCTCCTTGTAAATCAATTGATCTACATTTCCTGCAGGTTTATTTTTATGATTTCAAAGGCTAAGTATCTAGAGGTAATGGCTCATCATATCATTGTTAGAAGGAAGTGGATTACTGAAGTTGGAAAATTTGCTCAAACTTAATTAAAAACATAGTAAGTTCTTGCTATATTTTTAACACTACTCTACAAAGAAGCAAATTAATGTGATTTTCAAATGAAAACTCCACGGTTTCAAGTCAAACATCATGGGGTCATGTCTCCAGTCCCTTCTGAGAAAGCAGAATGTTTGAAAGCCGACTGGTAAACACAAAAAGACTCTGTTTCAAGAAAAGAAAAAAACAAAGACAAAAAAAAAGTTACGTTTCATTATGGATAATAAACATTAAAAAAAAAGAAGTAACTCTGGGTAGAATTCATGATTTAATTAGGGTTTTAAAAAAGGAATAGGTGGCATGCAAACGTGAATAAGAATTCCTGAAAAAAAGCTGTGTCTACAGAGCCTGACTGATTAAAACTTCAATGACCATGGAGAGGCTGGAACGGTGCTGGTTTAGATGCCTAATAATTTCTTTTAAGATATCTTTAGTTCCACAAATAGCCATTCCTTGCCGAGACTTAACATCCAGATAAACAGATGAAACCTTTGAAAGCTTTGATTTAACGAAACTCTGGTCTCTGCTAAAAGCTAGGAGTACTATCCAGTAATATCTGTAGTTGAGATCCCCTCATCCACTTGCTTCCAACAAAGTAAAATGCCTTGATAGGTACATTTATTGTTTCTGTTATTATAAAACTGCTTCCATGTTGGAAAACACGGAAATAGACTAAGCTAAATTTCTTTTCCACAACCATGATCGATCACTCAAATTCGTGCTCCAGAAGAAACTAGCTCTCTCTTACTCACTTTGAGTTGAGCTATTGTGTTGACATGAGCTATCATGTCGATAGTGTGATAGAGTGATGTCTACCACTAGATGTTATTTCATTTTGTTTGTGTACATACATTTGAATGAGTTCCAATTTTAGCAATTTTAAGTTAACTTGGTTTGAATATTCTTTTAGAAGTTTTGAGTTAACTGTATGACTACAGTTTTCCTTGTGACATATGTAGAAATAGACTAGTTGAACTCATACTGAAAATTAAAAATGAAATTATTAAAATAATGAAATGGGGACTTTTAGGAATACTAGTGTGAAACTTCCTAGTGATATGGAATGGAGAGTCTCTTATCTGTTTACTCCTTATCTATCTGTCATTTTGGGAACCCTTCACTTTCTTAGCTTATATCATAGCTAGCAATTGGGTAGACCTACCTTTCATGCCGATTTTTCAAATTTAATAATTAAATTTAAGTGCTATTTTTTGTCCACACTATTCTATTATATAATTGTGCAGAAAGATAAATCCAACTTCTTCATAATAATGTGGTTTCATTGTTCAATATATCTTGTAAAGTTGAATGTCTTATTCTGTACTTTTTAAAGTGTGTTTCTTTACTTTGTGTCATTACTTATATTCTCTTCATCTTATCTCCTAACTTTAGACACTATCCATCATTCCAGTAAAATTCTCTTTTCCAAAGTTGACTAGTATATACAATCTTCAAATATATAAGATTGCTTTCTTTACAACACAGGCATTAAAAATATCCTTATTTTTGTGTGTATCTTTGATAACTTTCATTGTCATATATTTATCCATTATTGGTTATTTCAAGTTTGTTTGTTTACATGCAATTGGGTAGTCTCAACTTTAGTGATACAAATTATTTTGGTATAAATATTCTTGTATAATTTTTATCTCAATAAACATTAGACTCTGTGTTCTTGATATCATTTGATCTTGTCAGTATTTCAACTCTCCTAATAAATATACAGTTGCATCTTATTATGGTTTAGTTTTCATTTCCCTGATTATTAATGATGTTCATTAGTTTTCATTGTTCATAGTCATTTATCTTTCTCTAGCAACTTACTTGTTCAAGTCTTCTGCCTATCTTAAAAATAATGAGCAACTTGCTTTTACATTATTAAGAATTTTTCCAGCTTTTTTGGGATATAAATATATATGTATATATATGAACACATACATGTGATGACTTAATATAGATATGAATTAGGAAACCATTGCCTTAGACAAAGCAATTTACATATGTGTTACCATAGTGGTTTACTAACATGGGTATAAGAAATTGAGACACTTAATATTTCCTTCCTTAGCAAATTTCAAGGAAACAGTACAGTGCTGACAACTAGTATCCATGCTGCACATACCCCTTTGTATCTGTGAAACACATTTCAACTGTTTGTCTGCTAATGTTTGCTTAAGTATATGAATATCTTGGATACTTTGTTACAGTGAACGTAAGAGTTGGCATACCTCTTCAACCATCTGGTTCCATGTCTAATTCCCTTGTCTATATAACTAGCCATGGGGCTGCTAGATGGAATGGTAGTGTTTTAAAGTCTTCATATAAACTACCTATTATTTTGTAAAGTACCTGTCATTACGGTTTAAATATAAAATGTCTTCCAAGAAGGCTCATGTATGAAAAAATTAGTCTCCAGTTGGTAGTGCTATTGAGAGTAAACTGGATAATGGGGGTTGTGGTAATTTGGCTAAGAAATGTCCCCTATAGGTTCAGGCGTCTGTCATTTGCTTGTTTGGTAAAGTCATGTGGCCTTTCTAGAAGAAGTCATGGCACTGTTTTGTAAAATCATGTAGCCTTTCTAGAAGAAATATGTCAAGGGGGCAGGCTTTGAGAGTTCGTAGCCTCATCCCACTGCCAGTTTGATCTCTCTACTCTGTGTTTGCAGCTGAATACATATACATATGTATATGACTATATGGTCAGTCCACTTCCTTCTTTGCCACCTCCTATCATCCTCTCTCACCGTTGTGGAGTCTCCTTCTAGAACTATCAGCCAAATAAACCGAACCTTCCTTGGGTTGCCTTTGGTCATGGCATTTTCTCATAGCAAGAGAAAAGGTAACTAACCCTGAAGTTGGCATCAAGAATTGGCTGTTACAGTAAGGAACCTGACAATGTGGGGCTTTGGAAGAATGTAAAAGACATTGAACTAGAAAAGCAGTTGAGTGCTGTTAAGAGAGCTTGATGGGTCTTTCTTAGAGGAGCCTAAAAGGCAGTAGTGTTGAGAGTAATATGGATGGTAAAGGTCAAACTCATGAGGTTTATAGAGGAAGCAAAGATTTTAACAGAAATTGAGCTAGAATCACACCTGCGATATTGTGACAAAAAAAAAAGAAATGGTTACCTTTGGTCTGTGTCCTAAAAACTTGCCTGAGGCTAAATTTCAAAGTAATAGCTAATTCCTTTGGCAGAGGGAATTTCAAGGTTTCATAATGTTGAGTCCCTGGTATGGTTATTACTGATTTATTTTCTGCAGATCCACAAAGAAAAAGAGCAAATGGGGTAGAAAAAAATGAATAAATATGCAGTTTGGAGAGAAAGAAGAGCACTAGGAAGCCATGTGTGCTTTGAAAGAGGCTGTAACTGTAGGGATCTATGCCTTTAAGGGGATCCTCCCGCTCAGCATTGGAAAGATAAGAAAAGGTGCCCAAAGGCAAGACCACATCCAAAAAAACTTCCTGTCACCTGGCTCTAGAAGTCAAAATCCTTATCAACTAATTCCAACCTCAGGTCCTATGGAGTTTAGTACCAGTTGATAATAGCCTGTCCTCTTGAGAGAGGAGCTTTATCACTTTACTTATATATTTTTACATTATTGTTTAACTTTACTTTGCATATTCTGAGGATCTTATCAAGAAACTTAAGTCACTCGGGTGTGGTGGATCATCCAGCACTCAGGAGGCAGGCAGATCCAGTTCCATATCGGCTTAATCTACATACTGGTTTTCTGGCCAGCTAGGACTACTAAGGGAGATCCTGGTTAAAATAAACAAACAAAAAACAGAAACAGAAGGCTTAATTAAATCTTGTGGAAATTTTTTCACGTAGAACCTTATAGTGGAGTTTGAGTATAAATAAACACCCAAACTTCTATGCAGGGACTGAACAGTACTTCTTCTAGTCCCTGTGTTTCATTTGCTGAACGTATTCTGGCTACAGTAATCCGTGTAGAGAAAAGAACCTTTGGGGGCTGGTAGCAGTCTTCTGTGCTGTGACAGCCACTATCCTGTGGCGTACAGACTACAGTTTGAGATCTTTCTAGGGTGGAAGCTCAAGGAGAGAAAATGTCTCTGCCAAGCCTAGAAAGACCAAGTTCTCCATCCTGCAGGGTCTTTCTCCGATGCAACAAAACACACCTTCACTGCTGTTTGATCTAATTAAAAGTTCGAAAGCTAAGAGATTCACCGCTGCTAGATGACAGGGATATTATCATTCCTTTTCTGGTCTTAAACTTCAGTAGGATTCTCACACCCCAAACAAACAACAACAACAACAAACATCTATCATTGCTGACCTGGGAAATTCCAGGAAGGATATAACATTTACATTGACCTATAGTATTTACAGTTGGACAAAAAGGACTTAAAGCTGCCCAAGCTTCCCTATCAAGGAGTCAGTACAATGATTGGTCAGTGGTGTTTGCTGTGTGTGAGGACAAGGAGAGCTCTTCTGTATGGAGATGCCACTACCTCTGCATAAATCACAGTGGATTTAGCAGTAATGAGATAACAGTGTCCTCAATGAGACCAGTTTCCAAGAACACAGGGATGAAAGCCAGGAAGAACACAATGGTTTCAGGAGTTTTAAAAAGAGCAATCAAAACAGAAAATATTTAGATGACTCTCCAGGAAAGTTTATTACTTAAAAATGATTCACAAAAGTAGCAAAATGGAGAAGAAAAGATTAGACTGAAGTTTTGTGTTTGTGAGATGAAAAGAAAAGTTTTAAAAGATTACAAGAAAGAACTGGGAAACAAGAAGACTTCTAATTCATAATTTAGGTTTCCTGCTGAGAAACAGGGTAGTGAATTCTGGAGCTCAGAATTCATGATGAACCTGAATGTAAGTGGCTGTGCAGATTCACTAGAAATTTTAAAATATCTAGTCAAAGAGTTTGTTCACTGGTGATTTTTGGTTTCCTCATAAAATGGTCTCCAATTCAGATATCGCTCAAGAGATGAGAGAATATTAATTTATCCTGAAGGGTCCTAAATATAGAAATACAAAATTGTAAACCTAAAAAAAAATAATAAACTGACTGTCATCAGCTCCATCAGCTACTAAAGGTTAACTTTTAACAACAGCCAGCTCCTCTATCGATAGCCAGGGGTTAACTTTTAACCCCCTTATCCCTTATAGCCCACAACTGCCATGGACCAAAGTTAACTTTTAATAGTTGTTTCTACATGACTCCTAGTATGCATTCCATGCCTGATGCTTACTTTTCGATATAAAAGGGGCTTGGAACCCACCCACTTGACCACAGCTTCAGAATCCCAGACTATGACTGTGGTCCCATTTAATTGGTAAGCTTTTTTGAAACAGTGAGTGAGAAGCCTTGTTGAGTTTGTATCAAGGTGCCCCACAGGGGGTGAGACACACCATGAAGGCATGGTTGCTGGTGTAGTGGAAGTTACTCACATGGCAGGAGAGAGAGAGAGGGGGGGGGAGGGAGGGAGGGAGAGGGAGAGGGAGAGGGAAAGGGAGAGGGGAGGGAGAGGGAGAGGGAGAGGGAGAGGGAGAGGGAGAGGGAGAGGGAGAGGGAGAGGGAGAGGGAGAGGGAGAGGTGAGCACTACCTCTGGCGAGAGCAAGGAAAGAAAGAGAGAGAGAGCAAAGGGTGAGTTTTCTTTCCTAAAGGGAATATGGTGATTTTTTTAAAAGATTTATTTATTATGCATACCATGTTCTGCCTGCATGTACACCTGCAGGCCAGAAGAGGGCACCAGATCTCATTACAGATGGTTGTGAGCCACCATGTGGTTGCTGGGAATTGAACTCAGGACCTCCGGAAGAGCAGCCAGTGCTCTTAACCACTGAGCCATCTCTCCAGTCCCGTGGTAATATTTTATTTATGCTGAAATGTGATTTTATTTCTATGATAATAAATAAAGTTGCCTGGGGATCAGAGCTAAAAGCAAGCCATTTAGCAGAAGTCCGTCTGGCGGTGGTGGCGCATACCCTTAATCCAATCACATGGCAGGCAGAGTCTCTGTGTGTTCAAGGACACAGCCAAGCGGTGACCCGAACCTTTAATCTCAGTACCAACCATAGAGACCTGGAGGTCTGTATAGATAGGCAGTGACAAGGAAATCATGTGGTTGGGTTTAGAGCCAATGAGAAGGTAGAACAGAAAGGCAATAAAAAGACAGGTCACAGGAAGAAGGACTCTCTCTCAGGGGAAGGACGGCAGTGAGTGGTAAGCTAAAGGCTGTTTGCTAGTGCTCTGATCTCTTGGGCTTTTAACTCTGTATTTGGCTGTGTTTCTTATTTAATAAGACCTTTTAGAATTTCGTCTACAAGGGAAATTTACATAAATTAACACCAGGGTGCTGGACAGGTCCCCAAGTGGTGGTACATAATACTTACATTCCTCTGTTTTGATTATTATAAAAAAGTGAGTTATAGATAATCGCAAGTGGGGATGAATGAGGGCACCAAAGTCTTGAGACTGTTTCCTGCGGACAAGGGCCAAAGTGGGGTGGGGGAAGTTAGGAGCCATGCACAAGGGGAGGTGTGAGTGAAGAAGCAGCTGTCATTGTGGAGATCTCAAGCATGGAGATTTTAGGCATCTGTTCCTTGAGGGAGCTGAGAAGGCAGGT